AATTTATGCCTTCGCCACCGTAAATGACCGTAAAGCATTAGACTCGAATCTAAGCCCTCCAGCTGGGTACCTGAACCCCATACAGAAAAGGCATGAAATCGAATTTAAATCCACATTGAATCTGAAATTCTACCATAATCATGTGATGTGTGGGGATCGGGTCTTCTGGTCCTAAAGGCTTGTCGCAGTGACAGTGAATTCCCTCAGCTGCAGGAAGTCAGCTGGGATTTCGTTTTGGCTCTTAGAATTGTGAGGTGTGTAGTCTCCGAACTCCCGAACTGGATGAAGCATGAAGGGTTTAGGGTTAATGGATTTAAGGTTTGCTTCGGGGGAAAGCTTCAAGCCCCGTGAATAGTTAGAATAGGGCTTTAGGGCACAATAACCTTTTGTGGCATGGTGGGGGGCGGCTAGTAGGGCTCTCTGCAAAGTTTCTGGCACGGTTTCTGCAAGGCTTGCTTTGCATACAAATGCCATCCTTTGTCTGCTTGTTCAGCTTATAAAGCGTACTCAGCAGTAGAAAGGGCAAAAACGTACTACTGGGAACCCAACTCCACATCAAGGCTCGCGGGTGACAGGTTTGATTGGTTAACCATTGACGTTGGCAGCTCTTCGTCAGAGGTCACAGGTGCTATTCCGTTCTCGAAGGAGACCTTGAACCCCGAATCCTAAACCTTATAAGCCCTAAACGCCTGAGCCCTAAGCCCTAAACCTTCTAAGCGCCCAACCGTTCATGAGGATATCTGCAGTCTGCATATTGCAACGCCATGGAATCGGTGTAGGTAATGTAGGGTTTTTAAGAATTCTAACAGGTTTTTTCTACTAACTATTTTTAAGGAGCCCCAATAATAGTATAGGTAATTGGAAGACTTCCGGAAGCCAAGGAACCTCGAGCAAAGGTAGGACAAGAAGCCACATCCAACGCGCCATGGCACCACAAGCAAAACAGCTCCGTTCTTTCATGGGCTGCTGCAGCTACTGCTGCTCCGGCTCGGCTCCCGCAGCAGCTATACTACGTTTAAGATGACGTCTGCTACCGACATATGCATATATATATATACATATATATAGTAAGAACAGTGGTGTGGCTGACACAAGGCTTCCAATGATACAAAGAAAAACGCATTCGGAAAGCCCAGTTCGTGGTCCTGAGATGTCAAGTTTGGTTAACAAACAACAGGAGGCTTGAGAGCGGCCGGCGAACGATCCTGACCATCGGCGCATTGCGGCTGCATAGTCAAAATGGCCGTATGAATAAGGTCTTGATTTTACAACTACAGTATGGCATAGATTAGTCCCAAAAAGAGTGGTTGGCCCAAACCACTCTTTCAGCGGAATTTGGCATGAACATACGCAGCGGGTGCGTAGAGGAGGACTCAAACCCCTGTCGTTCCTGTTGAAGGCTAGATATAGTCTCCGTTGCAGTTCCTTTTTGGGGTTGTCCTTAATATAAAACTGGTTAACCCATAAAAAGTAGCTACAAATCCTTATAAAACCGGTTAATCAACCCCCCAAAAAAGGTAGCTGCAATAGAAACTACAGGTATAGATCCCTTAAAGCAACCCTTGTAGACCTCAGATTCCTCGAAGCTTCTGAGCCCGGCTTGGCGTTGGGGTTCTAACATGTTGAAGCCCCGAAAATCCGCTTCCAAAACGTGTGGTGTTCAGGGTTTAGGGCTTATAGGGTTTTAACTACATGTAACGACACGGGAAATCTGCAACAACAGGTCGGCAGTAGTAGTGATTAGCTGTGTCTGAATTGAGTAATGATCCTGATGCGCACGCAAGCTTTTTCCATATGTATTTGTCTCATATCTGTGGGCATTAGCCCACTCACACCTGCGAGCCATTCCGTGGGCACTCCAGGAGCGCACGAAGGATGTATATGGGTGGCATTGTGCACACCTTGAAACTGAGGTGCCAGTCCACGCCCACCGGAATCGTGCGCAGTGCTACGTATGCTTATTGCGAGGAGCTTCTGCATGGCAAGAGGACAATGCCGAATCGTAAGCGGAGTGAATCTGATTCACTGCCGCTTGCAACACCTCAACCACACGCTGCCGCTCAGTCGGCAGTTGAAGTTCCACAACGTCGAGGGCTCATAACGGCAAGTCTCTTGGTATTACAGGCAAGACACGGAGACATCTGGCTGCGGCAGGTTGGCCGCCTGAACTGCAAGAAGTGGCGCGACCGCGACAGGAAGTGTCCACCTACCTGCTATGCAAGCCCCTTGCCTCGAAGCGGTGGATCAAGAAACCAGAGTCTTGCAGCACGAAGCCTCATCTTTGCAACTAGCCATACCACCAGGGCTTGGGTTTTGAAGTCTCGGTTCATTGTGGGCAACAGGCTTGACGCTTCGACAACCCCGGATGCACACCGAGATGCGAATTTGATCCAGCGTCTGCCTAGCACAGCAATGCATTGGCCACATCTCTGTAACACCCTTCGTAACATAGAACGGTGCGTCTGTTCAGCTGCGTCACGCCACCAAGGCGGACTTACAGCCCTCAGCAGCCATGAGGCGCCCGAAGACGTCGCCGTCGCCTGAACAGAACACCAAGAAAGCTCTGTTCCCAAAGCACCCGGCACACGACAGAGCTGGACAGCAGCTCAAGATACTGAAGGCAACCGTCGGCTTCGGGCACCAGTGAACTTGTTTTCAACTACAAGCAACAACAGATCTTAAGGGCTGGGCTGATGATCGCCGCAAGTTCGCCCATCAAGTTGGATGTCTCACGCCACACGACTCGAAGTTGAGCGCGGCTCCGGCGCATCGACTTCATGCCGGAGGAATATGACTGGAGAAGGTCCAAGGTGCCTGCGCAAAGTAGTGTAGGGGCAAGGTGCCTGCGCAATCAATGTAGGGGCCAAAATAAATAGAATAAGGTTTGGGGTATATTATACTAGTACTATTAATAATAAAGGAACCCCCAAAACAGTATAGGTGATTATTAAGGTCCAAATAGTACCACAGGGAGCACAACGAAATCAAGTCCGGGCGTTGCTCCTGCTTTGCAATTCTCGTACTCGGCTAGCGCCGTGATGGACAGCTCAAGCTGACTGATCTCCTGAGCTCACATGTACTGAGCCTCAAGACATACTCGGTGCACATCTTCACGCCTTTTGCTGTCCCGAAGAGTCTGATTGAGACTGTTGCAACTGTATATTGCTTGAACCTGTATATGACCGTATATGTGCATGTATGCAACATCCACACATATGAACTTATTATGTATGTATGTATGTATGTATATATATATGTATATATGTATCGAAAAATATTTATGTTTTGTGTGTGTGCGCATGCATGCATGCATGGGTTGGCTGATGGATAGCTGGATGGATGGATGCGTGAATGCATGCATGCATAGGTGGGTGCATGGCAACGTTGATGGATGCATGGATGGATGGATGGATGGACGGACGGACGAACGGATGAAGGATGGATGGATGAAGGGTGGATGGATGGATGGATGGATGGATGGATGGATGGAGGGATGGACGCATGGAGGGATGGATGCATGCATGTGTTTGTGTGCACGTGCATGTCAATGTGTGCGTGTGTATGTTTCGATGTGTCTAAACACAGAACGAGAAACAAGCAAACAATGTACGCATGTACATATGTACGTACGCATCTTCGTGGCTTTGTGTAACATTGTGTCTAAGCCTGTTGCTTTGGTGTGTGTGTGGGTGCGTGCGTGCGTGTGTGTGTGTGTGTGCGCGCGCGGGTGTGTGTGTGTGTGTGTGTGTGCGTGCGTGCGTGCGTGCGTGCGTGCGTGCGTGCGTGTGTGGGTCCTGGGTACGTGTCTCGGGTGCAGGTACGGGTTCGTGTGCATGTAAGTGTGCGAGGGTCTGAGCGTGTGCCTCCTGCCGATATGCATGCACACATGTGCGCATGGCTCGGCCAAGGTCGCCATTGCAGAGGGGGAGACATCTATGTGCAACAATACAAAAGTAAATAAATAAAAAATAAATAATTAAATAAATAAGTGTGTATATATATATATGTGTACATATATATATACACATACATAATTACATGTGTAATTATATATATATACATACATGTATGTTTTCCACATCACATAGATCAATCAACATATATGTATATGTATATATATATATACAGAGGTCATATATCCATATATGCACATGCACACTTGCACACATATGCACAAACACGCTTATACACATATATAGATAAAGATAAAGATCTAGTTACAGATACAGATATGGATACAGATATCCGTATAGAGCAGAAACAGATGTAGGTATAGATAACCAGAAATGGACATAGATATCGATATAGTTATGTACATGTACACATATGTGCTTCGTTAACAACACACACACACACAGAGACAACTCGCGCACAGATGCACGTGTTGTAGAAGCACACCTAGGTGCATTCATACCTGCATACATGTGCCTGTGTGGATGTCTTACCTGCATAGGTGCACATCTCTCTCCGCCTCTGCTCTGCTTCTCCCTGTCTCATCCGTTCGCTCGTCTGGCCTTTCGCCTGTCCTGTGTTTCTGCATCTGTCGACCTTGCCTGCCTTCGGCACCCACCAGGTGGGGCCTGCAACCAAGTTTCATCCCCGGCGACGTCGATGTAGCGGTCCAGCCTGTCCCGGATGCGCCACCACAACTTGTCCAATGTCACCAGGGTCTGCTCTGCGTCGGCGAATCGCGCCCAGGACTTTGCCGCCTGCCGATCGAAGCTTGTAATCTAGGCTCGGCAAGTCTGGGCTCAGCTTGTGCTGCAGCCCCGGTTTGGCCTTGTGTGCGGCGCGGCTGTGCGCCCGATAAATGCCCAAGACCTGCCACGAAAGGCCGGAAGGCGAACAGCTTGCACTGGCACTGACCCAAACTCAGCTTGTGCTCCCTTGCCTGTGCTTGCCGGCGCGTTCGGTCCTTCAAGGACTGGGAACCCTTTTCGGAGACTGAGCCTAATTACACGGCATACTAGGCTACAGTAGCATACCTTTTGCCAGCTTTATGAATGTGTGTAGCATGAGAAGCTGCGGCTTCAGAGCCGGCCCAGACGGAATCAAAGCCGCGACAACAAACGACAAATCTAGGGGCCATAACAATGGAGACTACACCCTAACCCCCCAGGTACCTACTATATAGGGCCCTAGGGGCTCTAGTACCCTATATAGTAGCTACCTGGGGGGTTAGGGACAGGTGAGGCCCCTAAACCCTAAACGGGGCGCCGGCCTGCAGCTGCCGAGCCTCGCTGGCGACTTGCCGTCCTTACTTCACAGAGCCACGCGCTCAGGGCGTAGGGTTTAGGGTGTAGGGTTTAGGGTTTAAGGTTTAGGATTCTGAAAACTGAGTCAAATACTAGTATAATAGTCTCATGATTGTTATTGTTATTATTGTTATGATTGTATATTATGATTGTTATCATCATTCTTAGTATTACTATTGCTGAGGTAACGAAGTCCTCAGCAGCTTCAAACCTGCGGACCTCTACGGCTTCGGCAGTGGCATGTGGGGAACGCGGAGACGTTGAGCATCCAAGCGACCCACGGCCTGGGCCTTCGTGAGTCCACCCGCGGATGCCCGCATCGTCTGATGAAGGTCAGACATCAGGTTCTGGAACTTCTGCACCTCGCAAGGCCGAGGATGCACAGAGGCTGCACACAGCGCTTCTGTCCTGTCCATGGCAGAAACTCAGTACAGAAGACCCTCGAATTGCCAAGAATCATATTCTTCTTCTTCCTCTTATTCTCACAGTGCTTAATAACAGTGATCACTAGCTGCTATTGCTACACAGGGAGTGTGCCAATGGCTGCCTGGCCCGTGCGCGTGGAGTTGCTCTCGACCAGAGGCTCCGCGGCAGCAAGGAACCTGAGCATGATGATTGCAAACATATATATATATACATATATATATATATGTATATATGTATGTATATATATATATGTGTGTGTCTATATACACAGTATATACACACGCATATGTATAGATATGTGCGTATTTTGTACTATGTATGTAGGTGTTCTAATACCTTCGATCTTCTTGACCATTATTAGTAGTCTTCTTCTTAAGATTAGCCTCCTTGTGAAACCAAAGGCCTTGTCAGAGCATCCCCGGCAGCAACGCGGGAGACGCCCAAGGAGGAGATCTCGGCAAAGCCCTTGAGCTCAGCAAGCATGGACCCCGTGGCAGTGACTGCGTTCTGCAATAGCTCCTTCAAATGTAGGGTTTAGGGAAGCTTAGGGTTTAGACACACTGCGAGGCTTGCAGTTTGCAGATTTGAGACTTTGCTGTCCGCTCCTCTTCTTTGGGCTGTGTGTTCTTGGCAATGTGGTGCAAGTAGATGGTGTTGATCTTGAGAGAGTGGTCAATCTTCTTGTCCAGGTATTCTGTCTCCGTCCTTGTTGCTTCCGTGGACCACTCCACCATCTTCCTCATGTTGTCATTGGAGATCTTGGTAGCCTCAACCATGTCATGGCATGGTGTGGCCCGTGTTCGCCCCTTACCTATAGTCGCCATCGTAGTTCCCTTTTCTGTTTAAACGTTTAGTTTAGGATCCGATCTGGTAGTGGAGACTTTAAGTACTATTCCCGCCCGTGTGCGCCTGTTCCAAGTTCCGTAGAATTGTGCGGTCGCCACGGATGACGGCATCACGCACGCAGTGGATGTCACAGAAGAGCCGTGCAAAGCCAGCCTGGCCGGATCTGGCCAGTCTTGCCTAGCCCATTTGATGCACACTGCTACAGTGTCTGGACCTCCCACCTCGTAGGGGTTGCAGGCCAGGTATCCTTCCCTCTCAATTTGGAAGTCCACTGCCGTCTTGGAGATGTCAAAGGGAAGGTCTACTATTGTTCCTGCAGCTCTTCTGCATGAAGGCTGGCCACTGTAACTACAGTTCTTACCCACATGTCACTGCCGCCGAGCATCGTACAAGGTCTGTAACTTCGGCACAGATCTTCTGCGGCTGGGGCTGGCGGGTCAGGCGCCGCTGTAAATGCGGACCCGGTCAACACGTCAAGCTTTGCGCAATCCGCAGAGAGAATGGAGTGATGGAGAAGCGAGTCAGGCGGGGGGGAGGAAGAGCGGAAGCGAGAGAGCAGGGATAGAGAGGAGAGAGTGAGGTAATCATAGACGGCTGTATACTTTCAGGATCTTTCAGGCACGACGGACGGGATGGCGGCATTCGACAAGGCCTGCAGGGCGAAAAAGGGCATGCGCGCCTCGACACCGACGCCCAATGGGGCCGCAACAACGCTGGGAATGGCGGCACAGACCAGCCTGTGGTGCAGTGCTTGCACCAATGCATGGCCAGTCATGCCCTTCATTATGCATTCCCTGTAACATCTTGAGGCTCAACCTTTGCTAAACTATATAACCCTTATAATTCCAAGACGCTTCACCGCAGACTGGACGACGTTGGCCTGTCGTCAACTCCAGAGATAAAAGTGATGGATCGCAAGCGCTGGTCACTGGCCCCGCATGAAAATATGAAGACTGTGGTATACTTGGAATATATAGGGTCTGGGGCATGCTATAATAGACCATAGTCACAGTACGCAAAGCCCAAAGAAGAAAAGGCGAACTCCTTGACACCGCATGATCATGCAGCTGATTGGCGATGCTGTGGTAGAGGCTGTTGCCGAACTGCATGTAGCCGGCGAGCATATCGCGATTGATGTCCCCTTGCATGCACTGGATCCAATCCTTGCAACATGAGAAACCACTGAGATTCTTTTCTGCATCCAAGCACGAGTTACCTCAAGCCGGGCACCGCACCTTGTACAAAAGGTTGGGAGGCGATTGCTTGCCATCACCATGCCCTAGCCTGATGGGCAAACGCTGCCTTTGACTTGTCACTGCTGCTTCAAAAAAAGCCGCTGGCCTTGTATACACCCTAAAGCCTAATAATGATCTACAAGCACTGGCCCTGGCCTGCCAAAGATGCCAAAGCCGGTGTCCTGCATTATCTGGCCTGGGCTGCGTGTTCCCAAACCGCACGACAGTCTGGGGTTCAGGGGTTCAGGGTAGGATCAGGTCTCAAATGTCCCAAAACGCAAGAAAGTCTGGTACTCCAGAACCCGGTGGCAGGGGTGGACATCTGGCAGCTCGGCATCGACGGTGCCGACATCAGGCTCGAGCTTCGACTCCTCCACGATCTCCTCCTGAACAAGTACACTGTGTTATAGGCTTAGGGTTTAGGGTTGAGGTATACCAAAATCGTCTTCTCCGCTCCTTTATTGAAGTTACAATCAAAAAGACCACAAAGCGCACATAATCCACCCCTTGCAGCTCCGATGTGCCTTGTCCGCGTTGGTGTGTGTCTCGGTGAGCTTGTTCCATAATTCGCCGTAGTCAAGGCACTCGTCTGCGTACTTGGGCATCTCTGCCTTGAATTCCTCATCAACGAGACATATCTTGACATCTCAGACTGCCCCCGTCGCAGCAGTTTCTCCCCGTATCCACCAATAAATAGCACACATGGGGAGAGCCATGCCCACGGTGTTCGCTATGCATACCAGCTACCAACACCGTGCTCTAACAATCTTCCCGCGACCATAGCGTGCACTGCAAATGAGCGTAGTGGCACCGTGTGAGCCCTGCAGGCGCCTGTAGCTTGGGCTTGGCCGGCTGCGCTGGCCTCTTCGGCGGCTTAATCGCCTGAGCACGGCTCACTTTTCAATGCTGAGCCCGCTATGCTTTGTCGGATTTCCAGGGCACCTTGAGCATCTTCGCCAGGTCGTCCATTCCTCGGCTGCGACTTTCAGCATGAACTGCATAGAGCAACCCCATTCTTGCCGAGCATCCCCCTGCTTCCATGGAAGGGACACCCTTTCCCTCGAAGTGCCCATCGAAGTTGGTGACATTATGGACCTGAAAGTTTGAGAACTGACACAACAAAGAAGCCGCTGTACTGTGCCCGCGGAATGAGGGCGCCTCCAGCATGGTCATCACGACACCGACGGGGGTGGCACCGCCAACGGGAGCCGAGCAGTCAGGACCCACACACCACCTCGCACCCGCGAAGGCGCATGGGTTAGCTCAAGGCAGAAGCTAGGGGGGGGGGGGGGGGGGGGGGNNGGGGGGCGGGATCTTTGAATTCGGGCTTTGTTTTGGTACCCCTTTCAAAGGCAGATTGACAAAAGGCGACCTCTACTCTCCCACTACGCGTAGGCTCGCTTTCCGACTTGGCCAAAGCACTCGCCGTTCCGCTCGAAGGACAAGGCGTCGCCCGTGAGTGCATTTACGTACCTTATATGTATGAATGTATGGGCCAGCGCAGGCGTAGGGAGTAGACAGGAACGCCAAATCAACTCGAAGACAGGGGACTTGTACCGTCCGGTGTGGGCATCTGGCTCCAGGGGACAGAAGATACCTCGGGATGCGTTGTGCTGTGTACTGTGTGCATGTCTGCTGCCCATCACATCGACAGCGGAGGAGAGATGCAGGAAAGCAAAAGTCAGAGAAGCAATGAAGGGACAGACAAACACGTGCAGGGGGCCTTTATGCAGAGAAATACACAGAAAGGCAAGAGACAATCCAAGAGACCGACAGACATGCAGGAGCATAGCTCTTAGAGTCTTAGACACGCAGACAAACGGATCCTCGGACACTTCGCCCAATTTCTGCTCCCAGGTCCAGAATGGGAGTTGCAACGACTACGGCAAGAGTGAGGAACACCGAGGATGAGTTTAGACCCTCCATACCTGGATCATCCTTGAGCGAAGAACCCTCAAAACCAGAAGGTCTTCCCAAGTCGAGGGCACACTGCAATCGCTGTCTACACAATGGGGCTATCACAAGGCTGTTGGGGCCTTCCGGTGCTTGCGTCATGCTTTCGATAGTCGTGGAGGGCTCCATGACAACGGGAGCACCACCGGCTTTCGCACAAGTGTACCTGCGAGCGGGCAGGGTAGGGGCGGATTCTTTTTTTAACACACGATGTCATACTATCGTATACTGTAGTATAGTATAATGCAGTACCTTGTAGTGCATGATAACGGACGAAACTTCGTTTCTTTGTCTGAGGCACTTGGAGCGAGCCCAGCGTCCGCCCTCGGAGAATTCGAAGTGGAAGCCGCTGAGCAGGGCATCAGCGCCACAGTCCACCTTGATCATTCGCCTCAGCTCCGAGACAAAGGGCATTCTATCTTCTTCTATTATGTTATGTCATGTGTATCGTATCATTAAGCAGACTCCGAGCTGCAGTGCGCCAATGTAGTTTGCCCTGCTCTGGTCAAACTTCTTCACTTCCACTTGGGCACTGAAGTACTCGAAGGTCTGGCCCAAGCCTCCGATACGGCTGCACTCGTACCTCAGCGAAACCGCTCAAGATTCTTCCCATCGGCTCCCCTTGCAGTTCTTTGTTTGTGGGGGAGGGGGGCACCGTATCGGATCCTAAATATGTAATTGGCTCAACCAAAAAACGGGAACTACGATGGAGACTAGAGGTTCTTCTTGCTTCCTAGACCCCTCCATCCTCTATGAGAGCCTAAATACCTACCATTCGGGGCCAGATCTACTCGTAACTGCAAGGTACCTACAGGAACTGAGGTCCTCCCCTGTAGGCCCCAAACCCAAAACCCCCTAAACCCTGAAGCAAGCTGCCGGAAGATGTTGCGTGCAGGTAAAAGCTTGAAGCCGGTGAGAGCTTCTCCTTCTGGGCAGAGAACCGGCGAATCGGCAAGGAGCCTGGGCTCTTGCTTAGGGTTTAGGAATGGAAGCAGGGTTTGGGAAGAAGCTTACCCCTTTTGGGGGATCTATAGTACATAAGAGGGTCTCCTTAGGTCTCCCTAGAACTATGGGAACTTCATGTCCTTTGCCATGGGAACTCAAAACATCCTTCCTATGGGAACTGAACTTCCTGTCTTGTGGGAAACGTAACTTCCTTATGATGGGAATTCACCTACGTTGCCATAATAGGGATCTATAGTATATATATATATACATATACATATATAAGTAGTAGGCTTTCCTTGTAATGGAGAACCCAGGAGCGTGTTCCACTCGGGCCAGTTCGTGCTTCGCTTGTCGTAGGTGATGGTCGTGTCCAAGAACTCTCCTCGGACCCAGGGTCTGATAGTTAAAAGTAATGGCTTAGTATACCCTAAACCCCCAGGTACCTACTATATAGGGTACTAGAGCCCCTAGGGCCCTATATAGTAGGTACCTGGGGGGTCAGGGATAGTAGTCAAAAGGGCTGAAGGTTTATGCTGGCACGAAGCGAGACAGGGTTTAGGCTCACCTGCAGAAATCCAGCAAGAGGCGGCACCCTGCCAATGCCCTCCCGGGGCCCTCCCGTGTCCTCAACCCTAAACCTGAACCATACAGGACAAGTGTTGCCAATGCCCTGCCGTGTGCAAGCGAAGCTCCGAACATGATCACTGGCGCGAAGTGGCACGTTGACTTCAGCCCTGAGGTGTCTCCTGCAGAGCTTGCACCAGCTTGCGCCAGCTTGCTCACGCTTTGCCCTTCGAAGAATGCTGGCTCTCACACATGTGCATTTGCATATCTAGACGAGTACAGTAACATAGAGAAACTGGCCTCCGAAGACCTGCCCGAAGGCGAGCGAGGCCAGAGCCTGATTTTGTTCCGTGCTCTGCTTAGGGCGACGAGTACAGCCCAGGCCGTTGAGTCTCTGACTCCGTGGGCTCCACAATAGGAGCCGTAGGCCTGGAGACGGGGCTCCAGGGTTTAGGGCTTTAGGGTCTTTGGGGTTTTCAGGGTTTTTAGGGTTTAGAGAATTAGAGCTGGGAGGCTGCACCGGGCCTTGTGGAAATCCTCGCCGTGAGTGCGGTCTGCTTCCTGCAACCAGACGAATTCCAGATCTCAGTCTCGTCTGACACTAAGGGATCCCCCTGAATCCCTCCTTATGCATGTCCCAGAGAACACCGGGTACAGCCATAGGCGAAATAAGCTGCTGCTGGCTCTCCATATTGCATTTCCTAAGAGCCACCAGCGAGAGAAAAACTGCGACATGACAATGAGAGCTGTCTGATCGACCCATTGCATGAGAAGTCTCTTGTAGTCCAGGCTGGGGCTAATGCCATCGCCCCCAGGAACTGCTTCCAGACCTCAGCGGCAACACTTCGGTCGTTAATCCATGGCAATCCGCTAACAAAGCTTCACAGAGTTAACCAGAATCAAGGAGCAGAAGCCGTGGTCCGGGATGCCAAAGTCCAGCAGAGCCATCATGCGATCCTCGACTTCGGCCGAGCCCACAACCTGAGCAGCGTCTGTCAGACTCCCCAACCCCTAAACCCTAAACCCCAAAAGCAACCTGCAGTACCAAGCGACTTCCATAGCCAGGATTTCGGGACACCCGGATGCAGCCAAGAGCGTCATCTTGCCACCCTCAGGAGGTCGGAGTGACACATTCTCCCTAAACTCGGACCTGCCGTCTTGTCACTACAGGGCCTCTATATCACCCATAGACCACATTTTGTGTTCACAAACGCTGAGCGGCTGAGGAATTTCCGCCAATGCCCTTCATGAGGCAGTACTTCTGCGCGGCACCATGGGTGGCGGCCAAAGAACCCAATTCCGTGTACACGAGCATCGCCATCCGGCTGAAGTAGTAGAGCTCTTGCTGGTTCCTCTTCACGTAGTTGGTGTAACCTCGGTTGAACCCTTCCCTCCAAAACGCTTCGACAATACACGGCGTTCAAAAAGAGTCTTAACCTTCGCGATCGAAACCTCTTAAGCTTGCAGAAGCTTGCCACGGGGCCCTTCCCAGCGACTTGCACGCAGGGCTCACAAGAGAAGGCTGTGAGTTCCGGAAGCTGCAAAGAGTTGAACCAGTCTCCATTCACACATTTCAGGGTTTCTTGAGCATAGCGATGGCCTGCACGGAAGGACTGATAGCGCTCCTGCCAACACCCGACGTTCAGCTCGGTGCCATGCAGGAAGCTGGAGGGTAGGGGCCGCTTCCCGCGCCACACATGGGAGCTTGGCTCTCGGTACGTCGGCCGAGAACAGGTCTCCACCCCCATCCCACCCATGAGCAGCAGGGCATCGCATTGCTGGAACAAGTGCACATACCGGAAGGACTTTGACATGACCGTGGCGTCGTTCTTCGCAGGCACATCCTGGAGCAAGCTGTGCGAGACTACCCGCGTTAGGTTGATGCCAGTGAGAATGAGGGCCGATGACCGGATGTCCGCGCAACGGGCGATGATCTGGATATAGGAATAAACTGCACAGGGCCATTCGACAATCATGCGTGTTCAGATGCTATCAGTAATACTTGGAATTGAATCAGGTTCAGACGAGGTTGGGTTAGACTAAGTTGGGCGGGTAGAGCATGTGTTTCTACTTGTAACGACTCATCAAAGACGACCTTCGACACCTGAATTGTGATACCCACAGGTAGATACTCGGATACTCGTAGAATGACAGGGCCTCGAGGCGATATGTGGGGGGGGGACATGTTAGCAGGAAGCACTCCCAGGGCAAAGACCGTGGCGACCTGTTCCGAAGCCTTGGGGTTCCCTCGGGCATACGGTTAAGAACTCTCGTTAGTCCTCCTGTGCGTGAGATGGAAAAGAGACAGATAGCGTAGTAAGATCAGAATATTGAGTCAATGCACACGGCATACGCCTGCATCAGGGTTGTGACCTGTTTTCGAACTGCCAATCAAGCCAATTCTCCCTCTAGTTAAAGGCCCCGGCCTCGGACAACTCTTCCCGGGCCCGTCGTGGCCTTGCAGCTGTTGCCATCCGTCCAGAGCCGAGCGCACTCTTTCTCGGAGCCGCTGTGCGATTGGCACCAGCACCCAACCTTAGTTGTTCGTGGTATCCTAAGGACACTAAATCGTGTAGTATGGTCAACTATGGTATGGTATAGTATGGCTTGTTACAGTATATGATGGTTGATGAGAGTGTATTATATATAGGGGCTATAACACTCCAAAGAAGCTTAATGTAGGGGCCTTACTATAATCATAGTAAGCAGCCCCTCAAAATAGTATAGGTAATCATTAGTTATTAAGGCCCCTATAGCAAGGGTTGCCACTCTGCGGCACGGCAACCAGTACCTTCGGAGAAGGACAGCTTGCCACTGGACCCTCCTGCGGCACATGGCAGGAGGGAGCTATGCAACACCGAACAAGCGAGGACATTTAAATCAAAGACCGGACAAATCTGGTCTAATATGCTATGATATACTGATAGTTGGGCCGATAGTTGTTATAGGATATCATGGTATAGTATACTATAATGTAACATAATATACTACAGTATATCTATGATAGAAGATCATAGCAGACCATGTACTACGATAGCACATTTCCACCCTCCTTGTCGGACCAGTACCAGCCCCCGGCCGAACGGTCCTCCCAGTCCTCGGTGCTCTCAGAGGTCTTTGGCGATCGAACAGATCAACTCAGGCACACACAGCGGGTTTAGGGTTTAGGGCTAGTATAGGCTTTCCAGGGTTCGCGAGCTGCCGGGTCGTCGAGCTGGCCGCACAAAGCCTGGGCATATCCACCTGAGCGTACCCGATCAGAAGCCTACGAAACTTGAGCACTGCGCCGCGATGCTGCATTGCTACTTGATCTGAGGCACCTTTAGCAGTGCACGTGTCAGCACCACTCCTCCAGACCCGCTTGCAGTGATGGCGGATGTCAGTCCAATGGCCCTGCTTCTCCCTGAAGTCGTCCGGATAGCAAGAGCATGAGAGGAGCCCTTGGCCCAAGCTCTCTCCACGCAATTCAGCAATCTTGCACCATATCTGGCATCAACTGTTGCCGAGAGTCGCTTCCCACTGGGACATGACGCGGTCACCTGAGATGCATCTGCGGCATCTGGAGACCCAACGGACCGAGAAAGACCGGTCGTGCCTGCGCCGGCAGCGTGCGTCTGCGCCGAGAGCGTCTGCGGCGGGCGCGTCTGCGCCTCTGATCTCTGCTTGCCGGAGAGCACACAACGCAAGATTTAGCGGAGACCCCACTCAGAACCTTTGCCAACGAGGACTCGCCAAGCCTGGCGCGTCTTCTGCGTCTGCGTCTGCGGCGACCTCATGAAGTGCGTCTCAGCCGTCACAAAGGTTGCACAGGGACAACGACTTATCTCCTTGCCAAGAGGGCGACGGCGCCGGCGTCGGCGCCAGGACTGCACGCCGGAAACTGTGCCAAAGAAGTCATCCCGCACAGTGCTCTATAGGCTCTGAGTAGCGGCACAGCGAAGGCCCGGCCTGACTCCATGCCCTCTTGGGCCAGCTCAACACCATGCTCCGAGTTGACTGGCACTATCTCATCATCCTCGTCCTCCGCACGCCATGCGGTAAGTTCAACAAAGGTCATGACATGAACAGCGGTCGGTCCTCGGAAAGGTCACCTTCATCTTCGGAGTCAACCTGGGACGTTTTGTTTGTTCAGCTTCGGACTTTTTCGAGCTGCACAGTCCTAGCGGCTTCGGCATCCGCATCGTCTTCAACTTCTTCGGCTGCCTCGGCTTCCTCGCCGGGCTCGTCGCCTTCTCAACTATCGGGAAACTGCAGAACCCGAAATCCTAAAACCCGAAATCCAAAATCCTGAACCCTAAAACCTGAATCCTAAACGCAACGCCCTGAACTCTAAATCCTAAACAGTCAGACCCACCGTCTGCCCCACCCCAGGCCGCGGCCTCCATCCAATGCGCCGGTGTCCAGTGCCTTTTCCAGCGCCTGCACGTGGCAGAAATGTATCCAAAAGGGAATTCGTACAATATAGTAATATGTATGACGTAGTATTAGAAGTATAACTTACATGGGTAGAACATAGTCGAAGATAATGTGTAGTACAATATACTATATGTCGTTGTATAATATGATCTCAAATGTTAATTTGTAATGTAATATACGGTAGTATAATGTAGTGTAATATACTATAATTTTAATATACAAAATATGATGTAACATAAATTCAAAACAAAATGTGACAATCTGATATACTGTAATATAGTGTAGTATAGTATCGTGTAGTGTAGTATAGTATAGTAGACTATAGTACAGCATAGTAGCATTATATCATTTGTCTCTATATATATATATACACATACATATATGAGTTTCATGCTTACTGCCACTATCGTTACTAATGTTCTCATTACTATTATTGTTATTCTTAATCTTCTTATTATTATTACTACTAATACTATTATTGCTACTGATATTAGTCATGTTATGATTAACAGGATTCTGGTTACAACTACTATGATTATGATTATGGTTATGACTCTATGACTGTGGTGATGATGATTCTCTTTTACTATTGTTGTTATTACTATATGCGATTAAAAAACGGAATATCTACTGGACTATACGATAAAGCACACAGCCTCATGGTCCTCCTCCTCTTCCTCGCGGGCATGACCACCAGCATCCAGACCTTGCAGAGACCCGGGTTTAGGGTTAAGGGTTTGGCAGCGACCCGAGATGACCGGCATCTGATGAGCAGGCCCGGAGTCACTAAGCTCTGAACTCACCTCTAAGTCTACATCGCCCTCGTCTTCGACTGCATCCTCCGAGAAGTTGTCAAGGGCTGCCGCCCCGCTCTGCAGAAAGCCTTGGCATGCAAGCCCGCACCGGCATGTAACTATAGTATACTACAATATACTAGAACACACTACAACATATATACATATATAAGCATCTATGTATGTATGTATGTATGTATGTATGTACGTATGTATGTACGCATGTATGTATGTACGTATGTAAGTATGTAAGTATGTACATATGTATGTATGTATGTATGTATGTATGTAAGTACGTAAGTATGTGTATATAAGTATGTATGTGTAAGTATATATACATGTGTATGTAAGTATGTATGTATGCATGCATGCATGTATGTATGTGTGTATGGGTATGAGTATGTGTATGTATATGTATATGTGTTTGTGCATGTGTATGTATATGTATACCCACTACATTACACGATTATATAATCTCTCCTTTTTGCGAACAAACTCCGCTTCGACTGAGAGACGAAGCGTATCATGACCTATACATTATGCTTCATTATGCTGTATTATACAGGTTTCGTAATATTTTAGGCTATACCTGTATATGAGACTATATCCATATTTTAAAATAAACTAGATTATGCTGTGACTTGTGGTTTTCTTTCTCCAGCCTGTAGTACTGTGGCCGCTTGAAAAGTTCTCAGAGACTTTCACGACTAGATTAGACCACACCGCTCTATGATGTTATAACCGAGTATACCATATTCTACTATTTTCACTATGTCAGAGTGTGCTATGCTATATTTACTTATTGCCTTTTGCGTCAGGCAGGATTCCGCACAGGCAGGATTTCGTACACCATGCTGCCGACATGCGGTGGCTCCATGTAAAGGGGCCTTCCTAATTAGACTTGGTCTTGGGGGTATCGTGCTCTCTTGCGGGGAGCAGCTTCTCAGTCAAGAGCCAGGTCTGCAAAGAGCACCCGACACTAGACCCTAAACCCTTAAAAACCCTATGAGGGAGCGAGGAGCTAAAGCTGGCCCCGCTGGATGTGACGACTTGAAGATTGCGGATGTACCTTGGGGAACAAGCGAAACAGAAGAACAGACCTGCCTCAGCATTGACTCTAAAAAAGAAGCCGACATCCTGTTGCCCTAAACACCAGACCCTTCAACCCTAAACCCGTAAACCCCAAACTCACGATCGTCTAAACTTCCCGGTCTTCGAGGTGCTGCAACTTCATGCAGCGCACATGTGCTCGCACGGACACAGATCTGGAGGACCATCCGCTGACCTCCCGACTCCTCGGCAGAGTAGGCTCGAGGTTCGTTTTACTACTAACTACAACAATTAATTAAGAATGACACGAATGATATACAGACACGTCAAAACTACATGCATAAATGTAGGTGTATGTATGTATATGTATAATATGTATGTATATTTATGTTTATGTATGTATACACACACGTGCACACGTACACACATCTGTACACATATATACGCATGTGTATATGTCTACGCCTACGTCTACCTACACATACGCGCACATGTGCATGGGTATGTGCATGTGTACATGTAGGCGTATGAGTGAGAGTGTGTGTGTGTGTGTTTGCAAGCGAACGTACGTGTGTATGTATGTGTGCAATATGTGCATATATATATATATGTATATGTATATGTATATATACATATGCATATACATATATATATGTGCACATTTATATACGAATGTATATATATATATTTATATTTATATTTATATATTTATTTATGTATTTTATCTTCCCACAGACACATCTGTGTGTATATATATATGTATACATATGTATGCATATAAATAAATAAACAAATAATTAGTGACTGCGATTAACTTTGTACATATGTATGTACGCATGTATATATGCATGTCTATACATGTGCACGTACATATACCTGTGTGTGTATGTACTATATAGATAGATGTTTATACAAATGTATGTATGTATGTATGTATGTATACACGGACGTATGCATGCATGCATGTACGCACCTATGTATGTATACATGTATATCGCATGTAGAATATTAACATTTCTGTGACTTGCTTTTCAAGCATCCCGTACGCTTTGCATGTTCTTGGGTTGGATGCCGGCTCCATCTTGGCTCCGGCGCAGATGCCCGAATCTGCCTGGCGCTTGCATAGGGCCCATGTGCACGCTGGCACTAAGAGTCAATGCTTTGAGATGTGCGGAGATGCTTGCCAAGCTGCATAGCACGAGCAATGA